TCCAACGTTTCTGGTCTCTTTTTTTTTTTTTTTTTTGCACTGAGTGTTGTAACAAGCAAAAAACAATATGAAGGAATTTGTGGAACCTACCAGAAATAAATGGGTAATTTGAGGACTAATGCAATAAAATAAAATAAAAACAATGGCGTATAAAATAAAAGTTAGAAACTGAGATATCTAACAGATTCACGGGATACTATCTACCGTTAGACGCGAGAACTCGGAAAAAAGGCGACCACGAAAAACAATGTCGAACTGTTCTGAGAAGGGAGGGGAGATGTGGAGTTTTAATGAGCCACAGCGACAGACTTGTCGGCGACATTACGTCAATTTTGAAGAACACGAGACCTTGACCCTATTGAACTCTGCTAAACGTGGAGTAAAGTTAAATAAAGACTATTCTTGTAGGTGTTTAGCCGTTACCCAATTTCACAAAACTTGTGTTTAACCTTTGACCTCACACGAACGAAAAATCACAACTTATTCGTGTAGAAAATATTAACCTAATTATTTGAGTTAACTAATGCACGAAAAGTTATGATACATGTTTCAGAAACGAAAGTGGAAACAACACAGTTATCTAAAAAAATTGCACTGTCATTTAAAAAAATAGGTCAACTTGGTCTACTTATTTAAAACGATAATATTTTAACAACATTTGTATAAAACGGTTACTAGAATATTTGTTTACGTAAGAGAAAGGCCAGTATGACAACGTTATGTAAAAAAAAAAAAAGGTCAACATAACAGGTTTTCACGAAAAAGGTCAACATAACATTTCAATATCTCGGGTTATGGACACGAGATAAACCTAACAAACTGTTCACTTTACCCCCCCCCCCAGTAGCACAGCGGTATGACTGCGGACTTACAACGCTATAATCCGGGTTTCGATACCCGTGGTGGGCAGAGCACAGATAGCCCAATGTGTAGTTTTGTTCATGCCCTTTCAAAATACATTGACACTATTTACTTGATATGAATACTGTACACTAAAAGTATTGTTATCATTTTTCACGTGCTTGGATACCGTGTTATCATTGTTCTCGTGCTTCTGTAGCGTGTTATCATTGTTTGTTTGTTTTGAATTTTCGCGCAAAGTTACACGAGGGCTATCTGCGATAGCCGTCCCTAATTTAGCAGTGTAAGACTAGAGGGAAAGCAGCTAGTCATCACCACCCACCGCCAACTCTTGGGCTACTATTTTAACAACGAATAGTGGGTTTGTCCGTAACGTTATAACGCCCCCACGGCTGAAAGGGCGAGCATGTTTGGTGGGACGGGGATTCGAACCCGCGACCCGCAGATTTCGAGTCGAGCTTCCTAACCACCTGGCAGTGCCGGACCCGTTATCATTGTTAACGTGGTTGGATATCGTGTTATCACTGTTCACGTGTTTCTATACCGTGTTGTCATTGTTCACGTGCTTGGATACCGTGTTATCACTGTTCACGTGTTTCTATACCGTGTTGTCATTGTTCACGTGCTTGGATACCGTGTTATCACTGTTCACGTGTTTCTATACCGTGTTGTCATTGTTCACGTGCTTGGATACCGTGTTATCACTGTTCACGTGTTTCTATACCGTGTTGTCATTGTTCACGTGCTTGGATACCGTGTTATCACTGTTCACGTGTTTCTATACCGTGTTGTCATTGTTCACGTGCTTGGATACCGTGTTATAATTGTTCACATTCTTTATGCACAGATTAGTCTTCATATACCGAGTGGTCACGTTTAATGCCCTTTAAAAATTTTAATTCTTGTTACAGTTTTGTTGTTTTTAAAATCCTACTGTGCGCATGCGCGTTTTCTGCTTCACAAAGCCGTCACTAATCACGTTGATTGACGACCTGTTTTGTATATTGTACGATATTCACGCGCAGTCGATAGCGTGTTTTGATTTCTGTCATACGTTTTTCCCAGTCTTCCTTAATTTTTTTAGTAATAACAGCCAAACAGCTAGTGCACATCAACTTAATTCACCCTAAGCCTAATTGATAGTAACAACACACGAACCAATCTGTGCAACTGGTTATTATAATAGTAAGAGTATACTATCATCCATGTGTATTAATATTGGGTACACTTATATTCTAGACTTACATATTTTTAATGAGTCAAGTCCGAAAAGTAGATAACCATCCAAGGATCACGGACACCAAACAGAAGATTTTTATCTTATTCGTGTGTTTTTTGTTTACGAATAGAGTTAAAGAGGTGAAGATGAATATCACGATCACAAAGAAAATAATTTTGATTCTGTTTGAGTACAGGTACAGCCAGAAAGATATTCGTTCGTTTTGATAAGAAAATTCTTCATAATTTGAGAAGATTTGTTTGTTGGCTTGTTTCAGAGCAAAGTTCCATTGGCCTATCTGCTGTCGCTGTGTCCACCGCGGGGAATTGAACTCCGGATTTTAGTGTTGTAAGTCCGTAAACTTACCGCTGTTCCACCGGTGGACAGCTTGAGAATAACAACAGAAGTCAGTAACAATGATATTGTTGCGTCAGCGAGGTCACGTGACTAGTGTCACGCCCCCTGCTTTCTGGAAATATCTTGTACCTTCGT